CTTACTCGGTTAGGCGTATATTCTTGAACTCGTACAACACAACTAGCTACATATGCCCAAAGAACTCGTGATACACGCCACACAAAGAGCTTCGCGGAGGAATCCAATATGGTTGGCTATTCAACCGTAAAGACGGAAGACGAATACGCGAACAAACGATCGACGTGCGTTACTTTTCTCGAATCTTCTTGTTGCCAAGCGCTTTCGCGCCAAAAGTAACTCAACCCACGGTTACCAGCGAGATGAGATAGACAACTATGCGGTACCGCAACACCAGCGCTATCTTACTCCATAAACTAAAGAGAGAGACCTTTAATATCTTATAACCCAGACAGAATAGAATCCCTATATAAGAGTCTGGACAGACTTTTGAAATGCCACAATATGGTGTGGATGTCACGTATATAAGGACTCTAGTTTGGATGGACTTTGAAGTGAAACACTATAGCGTCGATGTCACGTTGAAAAATACACGTATGGGCCGGTCTCACAGTCTCCGATTAACGTGATTCTCCGATTAAACTCACTCTGCATTTCTTTCTAACTATCCCCCTAGAAAGAGACGAAGAGTGAGTTTAATCGGAGAATCTAGGGAGAATCACGTTAATCGGAGACTGTGAGACCGGCCCATAAATTGTGATAATTGGAAGATCAAACGATCTCATAGAGAGATGTTCGATCGTAATTATATGAAAAGTCTCGTTCGAGTGATTAACAATGTAGTACCGGCTTCCATGCCCGGTGGCGCCACAATCTTCAGAGTAACTTTTTTCCCTAGCCCCATGCTTCTATGCTTCTATTCTTCATAAAGTTTAGAGCTCGACTAGCTCACTAGCATATCAAATAAAAATTATTATAAAATTGGGGTTGGGAAATGTATAATTACATCGGGTGGGAGTAATCGCTCGAACGAGACTTTTCATATAATTACGATCGAACATCTCTCTATGAGATCGTTTGATCTTCCAATTATATTCAAGTCTCGGTCTCATGATTAACAATGTAGAGGTTCAGAGAAATATAATTTTTATTTGTTTGTTACTTGTTTCGAATTCGTATACGAATCCTAACTAAGTCATACGCCAATTACAAAGGAAAGCTAACTTTTTCCTTAGGTCAATAACATTTTTTTTTTTTTTTTTTTTTTAAATTCTATATTGCGCTTTATCAACACATACGCGCTTTTACCAAGGATTTCGTGGTTAAAACAACAGTTACTACAAAATAACAGTATTATAGTGTTTAATAAAAAAAACCTACGAATTTTTCGACCAACTAGCAGTTTTTTTTTTTTTTTACTAAGTTCCTGTTTCATTTTTTTTTTTTTTTAATAATCGAACTTGCCGCATATTCTGTGGAGTGAATAGTGAATCTCTCACCTATACCCCAGCGAGACATAGCTGCCCTAATTCTTCTATTCATCATTGCTATAAAAGCTGCTCTGAGTGGCTTTTTAGCTGTCAGAAAGAGATTATCTACTTTACCTCTCAACTGCGATGTCGCTTGGATGTAAGCGTCAAATGTTGACATTAGCCTAACCTGGGATTTTTCAGAACAACTGGCAAACTAGCAAAAGTTGGTATGATCTTGGACGGTAGGTCTTAATTCGACCCGATATTCCTATTTCGTATCTTTCCGAACTTCGTTTAAGTTAGAAAAATTAAAACTTGATTGAGGTCAATGTTTGTGCCCTGTGCACGATATCCAGTGCAAGCAGCAACACGAGACGCTCAGTCAAGCAACCAAGAGTCAGCTTGTTTAAGGGAAAAACCTTCAACTTTTTGAAAACTGTATCAACATCCCAAGTTCTATCATACTTGGGTTTCACCGGGTTAAGCAAGAATATTTTCTTAAAAAATCTAGAAATATTTTTATTTTGGGCAATATTGCTTCCGCTGATCAGAGAAATCGCCGATCTTACCAAGTTACGGGATCCGTATGCCGCCGCCCCCTTTTTGAAAAAATTAAATAAAATCAACTTCTCTTTTCTGGTTGATAAGGGTCCAGATTTTGATCTAGGCAAAAGACTACCATTGTCTTAAAAATTCTGCATACTGCTTACGAGTTGACTCCATCAGCAAAGCTTCGAAGATATTAAGCTAGGCAATCCTTCTCTTCTGAAGAGTTTCCTGATAATTCTCCAACCATCAGGGGCAGCTTCTTTGTTAGTGGATGCCGAATAGACCTATAAGGGGGATAAAAGTAAAGCAGGCACAGGATTAACAATTAACGGCTTTCCCTTCAACAGTTTCATAAATAAGGGAAACCACGGTTGGCTAGCCCAGTAAGGATCGTTTTCCCAAGCAAAGAACTTTTCGCATTTTGTGTTACCTCTAGGGGCAAGCAGATCAATTTTTGGATATCAAAAAAACGCTCTGACGGCATGACGGAAAGCGTATCTCTTTAATTCCGTCTTGTATATATATTTCTTATCCGAGATCCTCTGTTAGTTTCGACATTGTCTTCGGACTTAGATTGACGTCACTTCTGCATTTAGTCGATATTTTTATTGGAGAGGAGAAAAAAAAGCGAATCTGCTTAGATGAAATAGCGTTGGCCACCAATCGTTTCCATGATAGCTTTTATAATTGTGTTAATAATATAAACCATGGGTAAATAGGCGAAGAGAATAATCCAACGATGGCAACGCAGTGGAATAAATAATGCCACTTGCTCTCTGAGATTCTTGTTTTGGTTGGTTTGTAGAAAATTAATACAAGTCTCGATGATCTCGACGCAGAACTAAGGTGGCACAAAATACGCATTGAAATCGGCGCCGCTTGGGGTGCGTTCCACTTAATAAGTGGAACCCAGCCTTGGTATACAGAAAAGCGAGGATGACGATCCGGTGAAGAAGAAGAAAAGCAGAAGAAAAATCTTAAAATGTTTAGATTTCAATCGACCTATTAATGTTCGACATTGCTGATATAAGAATAAGATTCTCGTCCCGTAGATGAATCTCGCATCAATGCGTGACATTAATGGAAGATATGAAAAATAAAAACATATATCAGGCTCCAAAACGTGTAATCAAAAGACAAGGAAACAAAGATGATAAAGGCGGATTTCGATACCATACGAAAGTATGCAATAACAATATTTTAATCATTCGGTATATTAATCACTTTAATTATATTAAATGTTTTGGTTTAAATTGGGGCTTGTTTCCTTGTCTTTCGACATTATATAAAGAAATGTTTGATATTGGCGATCCTTAACAAGTGGAGGCGATTTTATTACAACGTATCTCTTGCGCGTCGATTCAATAGATTATTGAAGATGCGCGAAAGAAATATGAATATATTTATACAAGCACACATGTTGTCTATTTCGAAGAATTATCTATTTCTATTCCATCGAGAAACTGACGTTTCTACAATTCCTGGCGCACTTTGAGCGCGTTCTGCGTGAAATTCTTTAGAATGTTTATCATCTCTGCTTTTAACACCTCTGGCATCATTAAACACACAGTCGTCTGGGCTCTCAGAATTCACTCGC